GGATCAATCTCAGATGTGTAAAATCTTTTGCTGTTCATCAAGTGTTGGTCTCTGCTCATAAAGTTTAAAACCTCAGCCTTCACTCACACAACAATGTAGTATTTGAATTGAAAAGAAATAATGATTTGTCATTTATGCTCATAAATATCGATATCTTCCTCATATCGTCCTGTCCTACTTGATGTTTTTTCCCAAATTTGTATTCTCACGTACCCGTGATTGGTGTGTGCGTGCATTTTGTACGATAATATTGTTTGAATTTGTTAGATTTTCTTTCAGCAATTACATTCATTCAATTTACTTTTAGTACAGAAACAAGTCAATGTTTGCAGATTTTCCAGCTTAACAGATATAAATAAATCAAACAAGACATGGATTATCAATAGAAATCACAATTTGCTGCACACCATTTTAGCATTAAATGGTCTATTCATAGTAACTGTGCATTCTTTCTTTTATCAAATAAATCTTTGTCTAATTTTAGTGAAAAGAGTTGTGATTGTCGCCTGGCGCTGGGACAGAGTGTATATCTGGTAGAACATCACATGAAAGTCACTTCTTTTCTCATCAGATGAGTTAAAGAGAGGAGTACTGTACAGTATGTGATACCAAACACACAGCACTTCTTTATTTTCACACTACACTGACCCATATTTCACTGACAGCATTTTCAAAAGACTGATTTATTATCTGGCAGTCATGAGACACTCTGATATTTGCCTGGAAAGGCAAATTTAACTTGGCTACATAATGAGTGGGAGTTCTTGTTGTGCCAGCAGTGATTTATGTGAGGAGACTGATTTGGGCTCAGCGTAGTTAAAAGGGAACCGCTTTCATGTGGACCAAACATGTGTGAGACTTTAATGGCAACTTAAGCAGGGTAGATCTATTTGTAGTTTACAGCCAATCTGTAGGCAGAAACTTTATTAGTGTCCCGAGGGAGCAATGGGAAGTTGTCATCAAAATAAACTGCTGCAGTAAGCTGACACTGGAGCGGCACCATCACAGACACAGTGCGAGACATGAGCTGGATGTACTCTGCTTGAGTGTTCCATTGTAATTACAACGGATTTCACAGGATTAGCATGCTAACATTCTCAGATGTGCAGATTAGCATATTAACATTTCCAGTTTCCTAGAAGATGTATTAGATAACAGGTGAGATGGGAAGTAAATCTAGGTGCAGGTTTAATGTGCTGTTCCTAAAGCACTAAGCTGTGTGCCTGTGATACATTAAATGTTGTGTGTTTCTTCATTCTTTCAAATATAACTTTCAAATAAACTATATTTGAAACCTAATTATTCTGAATCAAATGCAGAGAGGTGCTGTTGCTGCTTGTTTACTGTGTTCAGTGGTTTTTCATGTGCATGTGGTTTAAGCCTCGTAGTATATAGAGGTGTGTGTGCATGCTGACAGTGCTCAGGGCAGCATATGTGTTTACCATATGTTTACAAGGACATGGTTGGTATGCAGTTAGTTAATCGGCTCTTCAACTCACAAACAACACACATGCACTTGCTAAGGAACCTATCAGTCTAATCCTTTCTTTGCATATCATGCTACACCTGATCTCCTCAGTTTGTTTTCAAAGTATATCCTACTCATCTCTACAACTTTCCTGCAGGGTTTTCCAGCGCTTTCTCTGTTCTAAAAAAAAGAAAAAAAGAAAAAAGAAGTGACTGGAATTTCTGCAAAAACTTGGTTCTGGTTGGGGAAGTGGAATTGGAAAAAATGTAGATTTTACTCTTGTTTTTACTCCCACTACAAAACTGCTGTCTTTATAAATGTATTTTGAAAAGGGTTTCATCGTATGCAAGATGTGGACAAAAGAAAAGTTGATGCGGATGACAGGTCAATGTATTGATGTATTTTGTGTCTGTCCAAGTAGACTTAGTCTGGATTTGTGTTTTTACAGTTGTCAAGTTTCCACTAGGCCTTTAAGTAGAGGGCAAACAGGGCAGATACATTAAACCACAGCTGTTGTACTTGGAAGTGAAATCTCTGATAATTCGTGCCACCTACACCGGTTATCATTCCATAAAATATTTTTGATAATTCATTCTTGTCCTTTTGGTTCCTGTAAAGCAAAGGTTTTACTGTGTATCCCACTGAGTTTGTTTTAGAGACTCACGCTAACCCTTGGCTGACTGTAGAGCTGGCAGTTGTGTCAGTAGGTGTAGGCCTCTTGTCCTGATCCTGTCTGGGAGCAGAGGTGACATGGTCATGTAGGATTAGAAATCTTAATCCCTAGAAAGAGCTGTTTTGTTTTTCAGAGAAGCTTCACTACAAAACAACACAACAAACCCCAAGGTCATGTATTTTTTATGTAAATTCGGGATGTCTGTCAGTTTGCATCCACTTTACTCATGAAATATTTTTGAGTCGAGTTATAGTAATAGTTTCCTGTCCGAGAGCGTTCTCTGGTATGGTTTCAGTTCTTCAATTCTGACTAAATATTCTTTTTGCCATCAGGAAATTGGAATAATTTGTCACAGTATCTCCATGGAACATAATACTATGAAGTCAGGAAGTCTTTTAACCAAGTTTGATATAGTTATCTTTATCACAATTGTACCGTGTATATATATATATAAGCTTTATCAACACAGATACACTAAAGCAGCGCAGAATAATGTGCGAACAAACCTTATGTACTGGTTCTACATATGCACGTACAGAGTTTCCATCTTATAAAGATATAGACAGAAATGCATTCACAGACATACATGCTCTTTGACTTGCCCTGAGGTGGCCTGCTTTCTGATTCTCTGCTGTCCAAGGATTAGTCTCAAAGCTCTGTGCTCTGTTCTCAGAACAGACCTGCGCAAGGTCAGTCTCACACAGGAGACTTCCTGTTAGTCGACTCAAAGAGCCAAGCGTACGACTGTGTACTGCTGTAGCACCAAGGAACCTGAGAGAGCTGGCCAGTGAAGAAGGATGAAAGAAGCTGATGCTAGAACGTTAAGCAAAACCTGGTGTTAGAGAGACAAGGAGGCAGCAAAGCCTGAGGGCTACAGCTCTCATGAGGCTCTTCTACTTCTGATCACACTGGATTTTATATGATTTTGACTTCACCTAAAAAAGTTGTTTGCTTGAAATGGAAGCTGGGGTTTGATTTCTTCAAAAAGTATGGGAATAGGCAGCTCCTTTGCACCAAGATCTGATCAAATCTTTACCATAAGGTACGTCACATTTTAGGACATGACTATGATTGCACTTGAGGATGTTGGTCAATATGTTAGAAAGCGAGGTTTAGACACTGGTGTGGAATGTATCCTTAGTGTGTTTTAGTTTTTCAGTCAAAGACATTGTCTCAGGTTTGATATCCTGCTTATCTCCTGGCCACTTGTGGAAGAGCGACCTCAGAATAGACATCATTTGAAAAACTACACCCTGTGTTCATTGGTCATCAAGAATGTTGTTCCCTGATTATTTGTACCTCATGAGGTTTAAATGGTTAATTAATTATCAATCTGTTATTTGGCCGACACATTTTTAAACCTCAATAATTGGTTTTCCAACTGTGCATTTTTATGTGTTTTCTATCGCTTTGGTTTTCACAGATTTATTATAATTTATTGTAAGACATGAAATGCTTTGTTACGGTTGTTATATGGTTACATAATCAATGTAGGACTGTCGCAACATCCTGATTTTGATGATGATAATAATCAAATCAAAATATTATATTTATATCGTACTTTTCATAAACAGCTACTTCAGTACTTCACCAAGAGGACAAATAATAAGACAGATAATAAAGCAAATAATAAAAATCAACAAAAAGACCAATGAAATAATACAGTATCTTTAAAACTCATAATATAATCATAAGAATAGATGATTATCAGTTTTGAAACACAAATGACTGATAGCCTTAATAATAATATAATAACATTGTGTCATCAATCCAGTTTCCCTTATGCAAATAATATTACTCTGACCATCAACATCTTTCTGCACAACCCCACTTGGTTTTAGTAATTTGTTTTGTATTTTGGAATAATTTCAGTGTCACCAATTTGCAAAATTACATAAAACACACTTAAAACTATGTTAAGAATTAAATTGACCAATAGCATTATTGTTGTTTTTCAAACCTAGATATCATGATAATGTTATGAATTCTTTTGGCCATGATAATCGTTTCGTGAAAATCCGATATTGCGACAGTCCTGAAGTGTTAAATTGTAAATTTCATTGCAGTCTTAACTTTTTCTCAGATGGTGTGTAGTTTGGTTTGTTCAGCTGTGTGTCCATGCTTTTTAAATCACAGAGTAAGCTTGGCACCGAGGCAGAACCTCCCACGGATCATCCTCAAAGGAATCTTCCAGGGGGTTAAAGTCGTTCGAGGACCTGACTGGGACTGGGGCAACCAAGACGGTGAGTGGTTTGTGTGTGTGTGTGTGCGTGCTGGGGGGATCGTCGAACTGCCAACGCCTCAACTCAAAAGCCCCCCTACCTTCCTGAGTATGGAGCTGTGCCTCTTCAAAGTGTTCCACTATCCATAACCCATAGTGTCACTGTAACCTCACGTCTCATCTACCCATGAAATGTTCAATTAGTCTGCGTGCACTTATATTGCCAGTGACTTATTTGAGTCTGTTCCACAGATGTGCCAGTCTCTGTGTCTCCTTTGATTTTCTTTGTTCAGACCCGTTAAGTTGCAAAAACTGAGAACCCCCTTTATTTAGTCACTATTGTCTGCGGTGCAAGTAATAAGAAAGCAGAGACTGGAGATTATTTCTTGAATTGAATTATGCTTTCATCTGCATTTTTTTACCACGTGATAACAAGCTGTGAGTGTGCACTGTTTTGAAAAATTTGTCATCTATCAGATACAAACAGCCCACACAGGGTGATGTTTAAATTTAAATTGTTTAAATATTAATTCAAAACAATCTTCCACATCAGTGGACTAAATTTAAACCCTTGGACGATCCCTTTAGGGAGAGGGAGAATGTTAATATATCTTTATATTTCCTGGTCTGGGGTCATCGTTGTCTCTGAGAATAGTAATGCTCCCTTCTCTGGGCTGGAGCGAATGAGTCAAAATGTCCTTTTAGTCTCTTTGAAATCAACGCCCCTGGGTTTGGTCAAGTCACTCATCAGGCTTAAATGGCGTGCATACGGGACGCTCTGAGGATGCTCACAAACCCCCAGCCCACCGTGTAGTGTTATGGGTCACTGGATTAGTTGGTGTGGTTACTGAGACAGCTTGAGGCCTTCAGTGACTTCCGGGTTCTCCTCAAACCTGATGTATGGATCTGAACAATCTTGTGAAACAGCATTGACATTAATATTGTGGCTTGGAACTATGGAATTGTTAAATGGTGATTCTGCTTTTGTACTTTTCATGTTTTTGTATTTGAATTGAGAAGGGTGACTGTGTTTTGTCAGGTTACATGAGAGTGACTGAGGAAAAATGTTTCTCTGTGTCATCTCATTTGTCTCACATGTCTCTGTCTTCCATTCTTACCTGATGTTTAAATATTGTTCTTGTCACTTCTTGTTCACTCTGTTGAAATGTTCTCACAAACATAACAAAATCCCCTTTATCTTTATTTAACCATGTTTTTCTTTAACGAGCTGATATGATATTGGTTCTTGCATATTTATCTGTCTGCATTTATGTGTGTGTAGGCGGGGAGGGTAAGGTTGGGAAGGTAGTGGATATTCGTGGCTGGGATACAGAGTCTGGTCGCAGCGTGGCCAGTGTCACCTGGTCTAACGGCACCACCAATGTCTACCGAATGGGCCACAAGGGCAAGGTAGACCTGAAATACGTGTCTGACGGCCAAGGAGGCTTCTATTACAAAGACCACCTACCAAAGCTCGGTAAGACAGAGTCCTGTTTTATTTAAGTTTGCACTCCCTAGACACTAAGTCGTTAATTTCTCAGTTGTTCAGTGGTTCACATTTCATAATAAGAAGTAAAGCGAAGGATATTTGCCTTCATGCATAATCAGATTATAGTCTGTAATCTCACTACATTGTGATAAGTATAAAACAAGCCTCTGATTTATGTAATTACTGGTTGACAGCTGTCTAAAGTGCTACTAGTAGGTTTCTTTATCGCTGCAATGTACAATACAGCGATAAACACTAGTTTTAAACTCAGGCGATCGTTGCTGTTAGTTTTAAATATCCCCCATAAATCGGGGTCTACTTGTTGATGCTGACACTTTTCCATCCAGGAGAGCACGCAGAGCTGCAGCGCCAGGAGAGTGCTGATGGCCACTCCTTCCAGCAGGGAGACAAAGTCAAGTGTCTCTTGGAGGTGGACATCCTGCGACAAATGCAGGAGGGCCACGGAGGGTGGAACCCCAAAATGGCAGAGGTACTAAACTGTTTTCTTCTGACATAATGACAAATAACACAATTCAGATGAAACCATTGACAGTACATAACTTCCTGTTGAGCTGTTCTTTAATGCAAAGTACAACGTGTACAGTGGTTTTCAGAAAGCATTCAGACCACTTCACTTTTGTCACACTAGATTGTAGATTTCATTTTAAATGGATTACTCTTCCATTTTTTCCCATCTATCTACATTCAGTAATTCATCATTACAAAGTGAAATTGTTGTTAGATTTTTTGGGAAATAATTTCAGAAAATTAAAAAAACTAAAAGTTCTAATTGCAAAAGTATTCAGACTCTTGATTGATTAATTTATTTCCCTTTCTGAACTATATTCAATCAATTCAGTTTGCCACAGTTGGATCCCAGTTTGAGGCAGATCTCAAGGACTAGACTGGCACTCAGTACAGTTCGCTTGAATTCAATCTAGCTGCTATAAATTTCACATACTGACATACTCATAGATGTCAGTTGACTAAAATCCATTAATTATTCCAGGGGAAAATGTTAGAAAATACATCATGTCGCAATGTGACACATACCACATCCTTGAACCAATTTTCCTGGAAATCTGTTTTGCTTTTTAGTGTGATCTTGCTGTTGGTGAAAACATAACCTGGAGATAATTCATAAAACAAACAAACCACAGTTTTTATCAATTAAAACAACACCTACTTTTTGGATAAACCTGTTTTTTGTGCTTTAGGAAAACATGACCTCACACATGACTTTTGAACCTGGCATATAGAATATCTGTATTATATAAGTAGCTCAGTTGGATGTTGGTGTGCAGTGGAAACAGAACATCTAACTCTCAAATCACAGCTGCTTAAAGGAGCATTAAGGTCACAGACATGCAGAGAGGGACCTGGGGTGAAACTATCTATTTGTGTTTGCAGTACATTTGTCGGATCGGGACTGTCCATAGAATCACTGACCGAGGAGATGTCAGAGTCCAGTACAGCAACAACATCCGCTGGACTTTCCATCCTGGGGCCCTCACCAAGGTACAGACTTACAGATCCATTTCCCCTAAAGGATCGAGACAGAGTTTAGTTATGATTATAATAGCCCCTCAACTTTGTCAATAGTTTGTCCATCTGTCTTTCTCCCAGGTGAACACATTTGGAGTCGGTGAACTAGTACGGGTGTTGGAGGACATGGAGAGCGTGAAGAGACTGCAGGCTGGCCATGGAGAGTGGACAGACAGCATGGCTCCTGTACGCTCATTTAACCTGATAACACCAGCATTTGAACACAGCATGACTAATAAGACAATACTTCCGTTTAGAGATGATACTTTCCAATTTCACATTCAGATAGACACAGCACACTGGTGAATGAAAAGCCTCGGTATTTACCTAACATTGGGGAGCTGCTTGATTCTTATCTTTTTTGTATTTTTTGTATTGGTCCCTGTCTCACCCACTCATGCCCCCTCCACCTCACTTACTGGTTTTTGTCCTAGGTGCTTGGCCAGGTCGGGAAGGTGTTGAAAGTATATGCGGATGGTGACCTTCGGGTGGCATTCGGAGGTCAGACATGGACGTTCAATCCAGCGTGCCTCTCGGCCCAGCCGGTGGAGGTGGACGCCAACCTCATGACGGCCGAAAACCCCAACGAATCTGGAAGTAAGACCTCTGCCTGGACAAGGGGGCTCATCTGTAACACTCCAGCTCCGGCTTTACCCTCAGCATGCATTCACTCATCTGTACTCTGCCTCCGCCTCGTGCATGCTTTCACATACAGGCTGCTGCTGCTGTGTCATTAACGGCCACAGTCACAAATATTCCCTGTGTGTCTTTTTTCAGCAATCTGTGGACAGGGTGTCCATTTATTGGGATGTTCTTCTCTGTGGCATGTCGTGATCCTGCATGTTGACAGCGAGAGGGTTTGGCCGCACAGCAGACATTTGTCATCATGTCAGAAGTTCTCAGCGGTCTCTTAATCATGACTAAACCTTTCCTGTATGTGTTCAGCTCAGCGGATGGGAGCTTGTCAACAGAGTGATGTGTGTCCATGTGTGTGGTCCAATTGCACTGCATGGGGGGACATTTTGACTCATTCCTGTGGTTTTTGCATTTGGCTCAGCCTTGAAAGATTAACCAGTGTGAATTTGTTGTGCTGTTTTGGCCTCTGCAAGTCTTTGTGACAACACTTCTAATCATGTTGTTCCAATTAGTCTAATTAAAGTTAGTTAATCACTTTGTCTCTCTTCTCTCTCCCCTTTTCTTCTCCCTTTATCCCATCTCCTGTCCATCTGACTACATCTGTGTGCAGGTACTGTCATCTCAGTGTTGGAGAAGCTGCTGTCTCAGTCCACAGAGCAGGACAATCCCAGTCGCTTGGTCATTGAGGCAGCACATGGCAGTGCCAACAAAGTGAGGGAATTGGTGCAGAAATATCCTGACAAGGTTAGTGCAGCACTCCCTTTTCTTTGCTGCAGTCCTCTGCCCGTTCCAAGAGCCCCTTCCACTAGGACACCAAGACTGGGGGTGGGGAATTTAGGGGGACAGAGTGACTTGGTGACACAGGATACACTGGAATTTGCTCTGGCTATGTCAAATAATAATTTTATGAAAATTTTCACATTGAACACCCCTCCAACCACCCAGCATCAAAACATGGGGTGGAGCACTTTTCTCTCCACTGTTTGTTGTTGTAAATATGGTGCTGTTTATTTTATCACTCTCCTAGGTTCTGGACTCCCATATAAAAAGATTTAAACGCACAAGAGTCGACAGCTTCTCTTTTTTTGGTTGTTAATTTATATTTACACCTATGAATATGGAAATTAGATGAATAATTTAATACTGGACATGATGAGGATAACTGTGTCCATTAATAATTTATGAAACTGATTCTCATTATGTCATTGGCTTGTTTAGTCAAGAGTGAGGCTGAATAGTAATGATAATAGGAAAATAAGGGAGGGACAAAGTTTTCTT